TAAATTCATGTAGAATATGGCATGTCAACTGCGCTAATCATGTGGAAAACCCAAACGATTAACTTTAATCAAATCGAAAATATACATACACATACACAAATAGAATACATTGGCTTATCCGACTGGTAAATACGCCCACTAGCATTACATTCCCCCGTGTTTGCTCCAACATCCTTAATTGTATGACCTTATCGTTAAAACTTTGGTAATCCGTATCCCGTTTAACGATAGATTTTACCATCCTCGAATATTTATTTCGTAGGTTTCTTTTAAAGGTAATTTACTTTAAAGAACAATATTGGTGTCAGTCATTATCACATATGTGATAGAACTGGTTGAACACATTCCAAATATTATTTTATCACAGAGATCATTTTTACGATAGATGAGTAATGAAGGGCTCAACAAACGGAAGTGACGAACGCAAAAGGAAAACACTTCCGTTTGTTGAAACCTTCATTATTCATGTATCGTAGCAATGATCTCGGTGATAAAATTATATTTGGAACGGGTTTAACCAGTTCTATCACATATGTTATAATGATTGACACCAATATTGTCCTTTAATTATGAGAGAAAGTACAAGAAAGGAATATTTTGGTATGGAAAATACTTAGACGAATATAATCTGTAGTATGGTTATTGTTGGTGTTATTAATGAAGTTTGGTGTAAGCAAAGTGTTTTTTTTTTCTCTATCAAACAGCAATAACTTAAGACCATTATAAAACCGTCCCCATTCCATGCAGACAAGATTTGAGTCAGGATTATTTTTCTCAAAAATTATGTCATAAGAAATATTAAAAATAGTTCAGCCTATTCAGTGTTGACTACAACTGACTTTAATACTATAGTGATGTCGGAATTTTGACATGGTCGAGATTTAACATGCCACTAACAGTCGCAATATAATTTTAACTAGTGACATGTGTAACCATATTAACACGTTGAATTATGTCGATTTCAACGCGTCTTGTAACATTTGTGACATGCCATAAAGTTTATGGAACGAAACAGCCTACAGTCTCCTTAATATAAAAATATGACCGTATGTTTGAAGTAATAATGGAAATAATACAAATTGAAACAGCAATATTTGATTAAAACAGTCATTTAAATTAGTGCATGTGTAAATAGCAAATTTACTACACTAAGTAAGAAGTTACCTGCACTGGAGTAAGCATATTGGTCGTGACTTTTGCTCACTATAACCAAAGGCCAACTTACCAGATTCTAGATGAAACCCCATCATTGATACCATAATTATACTCAGCCACATGACTAACTTTACTTTCAACAAGCGCGTCATATTAAATCAACACAGTAGGAAACCTGCCCACTCACCTACATTTAAAAAAAATGCAAAGAGAAAACACTGAACGTCAACACTAAATCTTATTTCCGTCCTGGTATACAAAGGTGGGAGTAGTTGGGGGGGGGGGGCTTTCTATTGATGTCGTAACCTGGTGATTCAAATCGAAACTAACAGGAAATACCCCAGTTTTTTGATAATACAAGTCAACAGTCTGAATCATCTAGTGTAACAAAACCCCAAAATGATCACTTCCTTGGTTTTGGTTTCAATTATTTCTTTAGGAACGTGCACCCCTTAAAGAAGCTGGATGCATGCCCACAACTCGTCCACGAGCAAATTTGTCAACACGAAACTTCTAGTTGAGTCGTCCACAAATATCAAAATACGTTGGGTGAATCGTCCGCACGGTATTAGTTATGTTATGGAAATGTTGCTGGCTTTATCGTAGTATTCATATATTGATTATAGGGGGTTGGGTGGCCGATGTTTAATGCGTGCGAGTTTGATAAAATGGTCTGTCATTGAGTCAAGTAGCGTGGTTTCGAAACTCGCTTGTACCTGTGAAGGAGTAGGGTCGCATGTCCATCCTCTTGGGTTTTCTGGGGGTCCTCCGGTTTCCCCCCATTGCTAAAGACCCCTGCGTGCAAACTAATTATTGCAATAAAATTGAATCATGCTTTAGTCCCGAAATGAACTAGTCTGTGTATCAACTTACTGGAACGAAATACAATTCAATCTAACTGTATATCTTAAAACAAGAGAGAAATTGAATATTATCATCCAATAAGATACTGGGTCTTACATTAAACTAGTAAGTTGCATGTCATATACCACTTATAAAGTACGTGAAGGGAGACTGCAGAACACACAGCACAAATCTACAGTCAAGGCACATTATACAGACATCACAAAGTGAATGGATCTGGGGACTAGCTGTAAGTTTCCACGGCGCCTGACATATTCCTGAAGCAACGACCGCGAGTTTCACAGCGTCAAGCTTGATAAGATGTACGGAGTTAGAGCGAGTTAAAGTGAGATCAAGCCTTCTATTGAAGATGGGCTTGCAGTGATACAGACTTCACTCAAAATGAAAAGCAAACTAATATTTCTCAAAATTTAGATATGATACTGTTAAACAGTGGATAAACAGTGGGATGATCTAAGTCTGCCAATAAACAATTCTAAAACTATTTCTGAATTCAATATACTATATTTCTTTAAAAGTATAATTTTATATATTATATTGCTTTTCGAATGCAAGACAACTCAATATTTATGACATATTATGGCTTTGCCATCGACATCGTCTTTTGAATATCTAACGCTATAATCTAATGTATGTGTTTTGTACGCTTTCCTAGGGGTCTTTACCTTCACCTTTCGCACCCTGTAAAATGTGTAAATCAAATATACCCAGTCCTCTTAACTTTTCTATAAACATTGTTTATGAAAGCGATTTTACACATCAATGAGTGTTATTACATCCACATATAGAATGTAAATATATCTTTGACTCATTAAGAAATAAAATATTGTTGAAACCAATTCATGCGTGACAGCGTGAGTCATGATGGGCTATGACGTGAAATATCAATGTACGTATATTGAGGAAGAAATACCTTTACGAGTAACTACGTGAAATGTAGTAAAATTACATTATAGGAGATTAGATAAAGAGCTGACAGTTCTCACTATAATAGTTAAAAACTAGATAATGTAAAGGGAATTTGCTGAAAGTTTCAGTCAAATTGATCCACTCTGAACCGAGATTTTAGCGATTGAATTTTCGGCCTAGCCACGATCATCATTACTAAAGTCGGTACGATAAAAAAAACATAGTTTCGATTATCCATTTCATGATAAAATTATGAATGGAAGTAGAACAGGAAATCGGAACCTAATCCAATAAACATCACAGGCTAGCGATGACACCGAGAGTTAATTATGGTTTGGATAAGTTAATTAATGTCTAATTAATAATTTCGATAACATTTCAGACCTGAAGAAAGACCTGCAATAGGCAGACTTCAACGCCAAATTTGTCTGTTTTGTCGAAAATACCGACAATAAATTACTGTTACTTATCTTAATATACAAGTCAACAACAGATACTGATATTGTGCCAGAATTCTCTTAATTTAATTTGTACAGGGGGATATATTTCACTTTTATATACTTGTTGAAAGGTTCGTTATCATTGATAAGTCTAAATACATATTGGTATTGTATAGCTGTTCATCTATTCTGTGTAGGTCATTAAGGCTATCTTTATGATATAACACATATACATTGTCAATAGGGTGTAACAATTATCAAATTGGACTGGTAATAAAACATAACCAATACATATACATGCAGTGATCAATATGTCCTGATTATATTTATATCATCAATAACATGTAGGGTTCGGTGTATCTAAAGTATTAAAACTTTATGAATTATGACACCACTCCTTCCAAAATAAAATGCATAGGGTCCTAAACTACTCCCATGGGGATATTTCTAGTAAAACACGCGCAGCATGTTGTGAGTAAAATGATGTCATATTCTGAGCCAAAATTCATTGAGTGGATTTTGAGTGGTGTGTGGGCCACGTCTGGTACTAAACATGACATACTTTTGCCATAATTTTGTTTTTTCGAATGTCATATTATGACATAACAAATGTAAAACCTTTTTAACAAAATGACAATACATTCTTAAATATAAGTGAGACAACAGTTGCCAAGTTTCACCTAGACACGACCAACTGATGAAAGTGGTATAAGTGCTGTCTGTTCTCAAAATTTGATCAACGACAAAATTCCGGAAGATGTTTTGGTACTAAAAGTGTTTGGGTTTTTGTTTTAAGAATAATTCTGAAATGCGTTAAACAGTGAAAATCGAGAATAATAGAGTTGAACTTTTAGTATAGCATTCTCCTTTAATTTTTCAAAACAAACCATGTGTTAGTCCTGAAATAACCTAATTTCTTTCAAGTGGACGTTAAATCCCATTTCTCTCTCACACACAAAATGTTATCGTTAGAGCTTGCGCCCCATCACTGCATATGTCACATCAATCCAATTCACGATTTATATTAACCTAAATAAAAATTGTGTAGCTCCCTCAGGGTAGTTCAGTCGTAAAGTAATATAGAAACGAAAACCAAGGAGAGATAGAGAAATAGGATTTAACGTTCACTCTACACAAACTAGGTCATTTCGAGACTAACACATGGTTCAATTTTATTTCAATAATTCGCTTCGTTCGTTTCTAGAGTTTCACGTCCCCTTCCACTTAAGGTGATATCGTAGACAAGTTATAATTCGCTTGCGCGTAGGAGTCTTTAGAAGTGGGAGGAAACCGGAGTTCCCGGAGAAAACCCACGAGGTTGGACAGGCGACCCTACCCCTTGTAACGTACAACAAGGCAATCGAAAGTTGACTCAATGACAGACCTTACGATACAGCGCGCACGTGCTAACCATTCGACCCCCCTCCTCCGCCACCCCCCCCACCCCGCCGTATCGAAAAACAAGGAAGTAATAATGTTGTTTTGTTATACGTGTGCATTCCTTTTAATGTTTTTATATGATACGGACTGTTTGCGTGTTATCAGTTAACTGGGGTATTTCCTGTTAGTTTCTATTTGAATCATAAGGTATTATGACATATTTACGTTAAGGTTTTAACACCAAAACTTTGTTTAGAAGGGCTATAGGCGTGTGGTTAATGTTCATGTGTTAATGTTGGCGCGTGGTTGTTTGTTTCCTAGTGTTGATTTGATATGACTTGCACGTTAAAAGTTAGTCATGTGGCTGAGTATATTTATAGTATCATTGATGGGGTTTCATCTAGAATCTGGTAAGTTGACTTTTGGTTATATTGAGCGGATTTCACGACATAAATCTTAAACATGTGTATTGGCAATCAATCTGATCAAAATACAGATCCTATTTCGTTTCGTTTTTATAGTTCAAAATTTTGTTTTACTTGTCTTTACTACACTTCATGTAGTGTAGGCCATCGAAAGTATAAAAAAAACGAAACGAAATATAGATCTGTATTTTAATCAGATTGATTGGCAATTTCTTTATCTCAATGTATGTAACTTCTTAGTTACATGTAGTAAATTGGCTTTTTACACTTGTAAATATGCTAATTTATAAAACTCATTCTTAAATATTGCTGTTTAAATTTATATTGTATGTACTATTTCAATTATTTCTTTTAAATTACTGTCATATTTTTGATAATAAATCAGATTGTAGCCAGTTCAGTTTAATACACACTTTGGGAGTTCACAAATGCTACAAAACGCTATGAAAGACACAAAATTTTAGCTCACAGTATGTTAGTGGCATATAAAATCTCGCCCTTTTCATACTCCCGGCATCTCGACAGTTTTAAGGTACAAAAATAGATAATGTTATCAGCCCTATACTACTAAAACCAGCTGTAGTCACTGTAATATATCTGTCATAATATTTAGAAAAAGGACACGAATTCTTCTGACTCAAGTCGTGTTTGCATTGGTGGTTTTTGAATTATTATTATTGATGAAGAGACAGGAACTTTGCTTACACAAAACTTTATAAATAACCCCCATAACAACCGTACTACAGATTCTATGGGCAAAAATATTTTCACTATACCACAATATTCCCATCGTGTGCCTTACCTCAATATTAAAGTATTTTACCTAAAAATGAAACTTAAGAAATGAATATTCGAAAATGGTAAAATATATCATTAAAGGAAAAACGGAATTCAGTTTCCCCGAGTTTTAACCAAAAGCTCATACAATTAAGGCTTTGAAGAACAGGGACCCTTCACAAGGATTCTGTAGCTAGCACGGGCGAATTTTCCCCCGTGAATTGCGATCCTCCTACACTTACTATTATGTATGGCCATGTATATTTTTGATTTGATTTAAGTTATTTGTTTGCTTTTTACATATGATGAGCGCAGTTGACATGCCAAATTCTACATATAGTTATAATTTTACTTTTCATTATTTCCAGTGCTGTCACAGTGTGGCCAGGATCAAATAGTGAAGGTCGGTGCAGTGGCTAACGTTACATTTGATATAAGCAATGTCGATATTATGGTTAAGTTTATACAGATCGAACATGAGAAAGGGATATTATTTTTTGGGAAAATGGGGTCAATAACTCCAACCAATAACACAAGAGGATTTCTCATCAGTGAAAACAACAATAAAACATTTAGTTTTCTTATAAAGTATGTAGAAATGCGTGACTTTGGTCAATATTATGCTTTAAATACGACGAAAAGAATCTGTGGTATTCAACTTATTATAACAGGTGATTTAAAATAAATTAAAATATCTTAACGGTATATATATATATATATATATTAAAAGGTGCTTACCGTAAAAGGATATAACACATTCTAAAAGATTAAGTAGAAAATACCATTAAAGAAATTTTACTTAAATGCCTACATGTTTCGCCGTTAGGTTTTCATGGCAATAATAGATAATGGCGTTACGTCATTATGTAGCGTCATTATGGAGAGATAGTTACAATAATTTTTCATAAAATTGAAAACAACTGCCCTGTCAATAAATCGTGTTTATATTCAGTGACAGGGCAGTTGTGAGACGTGTATCTAATTCCTTATCCATGGAAAACGGTTTCTGAGCGGGTAGAGCAACCTTGAACTCAGTATCACCCAGATTCTTCGACATTGCAAACACGACTTTTTGGTCAATTTAAATCAACACTGGTATTGTTATCTTACCGTTACAAAATTGAAAATCACAGCCATCTGACAGTTTAGAGATCTACAGGACTTGGCATGTGAATAAATGTCTAATTATAATTAATGATTAGAGGCCAAACTAAAGACCTGCAATATGCAGATTTAGCTCTTACATAATACATCTTTAAATGGTATATTGGCTGTATGATAATAATGACCTTATTTATTGTAGATGCCCCGGTTACCACAATAGCACAAACACGACAGCCAGTGCTAGCTTTTGATAGCGAGATGGGTCGTTTTAAAGGGGCGATTATTATAAAATGTAATGCGACATCTGAAACAAAATCAGATAATTACACCCTGTCCATGGGTTATTCCTGGTTTAAAAATGGAATATACTGGAATTTATCTAAGAGTAGTATTCTGAACAGTACAGATATTGATTTAAGTTATAATGATGATGTAATATACTGTGTGACTACTGATGATCCTGGGTGTATGACAGCTTTACAAGATTTAAACTCTTCATCTACTTTAAACACAAGTAAGTACATATCACTGCCCTGTCCACCCCCACCCCCACTCACACAAACACACCCATTCACTTGATCAGATATATTATGCGTATGTTGGTTGTGGTGTTTATATAGTGTCCGGTCAGCAGGTTTGTTGTGTGTAATTGTCACTAGTGCGATTCCCCTGCTATACTCTAGGTTAATGGTACCTCGAAAGTAAATACATTTGTTACTGGCACCAGGTATGTAAATTCATTTGTTACTGGTACCAAATAATTAATACACTGGTTACTGGTACCAAACAAGTAAATATATGTCCTAAAATACCAGGAACAGCCTACTATTATCTACTATTGTTATTAGATTTCAACCAATGATCTTTCTTTTAAATAGTAAAAACAGATTCCAGATGTGAGAATGTTTTGGGAATTTCTAACAAGTTTACCATACGTGTAGAATGTAAGTATTATAGAAAATCCAGATTCAGTTTAATGAGATGTACATGGGGCATGTGTGTGTTAGTCATTTCAGGTACGGAACCAGGGGGGGGGGGCAAACCCCACTCTGCTCAGCTACATAAAAAATTGAATGCTTTGCATCGATGAAATTGAATCACAATATGATCCTATATCATCATTCCAAAATTTGACGTCAAACGTCTATCTGTATGCCTGTGTAATTTAGAGATGATGATGGCATCATACATTGTCAACTGTCAGATTTTTTTAAACAGGAGCCTGGCAAATCCCTCCTGCAAAAATTTCTGGATCTGCTCCTACATTTAATATGTATTATTGGCTGTTTTATTCTTTAAATAGTTGACGAAACCGTCCATAAATTGTACACAATTCAATACAAATTGATAAATATTCCTGGCAATGACATTATTTTTATGAATAGTCCCAAGACGGACGAAAAGTACTTTAAAATGTTATTATATCAGTGTTGAAATCAGTTTGCGTCGGCATACCTTTTATCTTTTCATCTTTTACCGTGAAACAAAGTAGAGCGCTTTACTGTTGTGCTAATATTTTTAGATATATTGTTGTGCTTCTAGAACATCTAGTACCACGTTAGATATATTTATGTTACAGATGGTCCGTATAATGTAAGCCTACATCCAAGAAGTGATAATGTTACAGTAGTTATTGGAAATACATTATCAGTAAATTGTACCAGTGAATGTAACCCACCTTGTAATATCAGTTGGTATAAAGATGACGTGATGTTGAGTAACCAGAAACAACTAAATATACTGGTTCGTAATATTTCAAACAATGGAGAATATGAATGTAGAGCAAGTAATAAACATGGTGCTACAAATAAATCTCTTATTGTAAAATTAGGTAAGCTGTTGTCTCATTACCAATATTTCCCCCTCTGTTTTTTTTATAATAATAAAATTGGACCATCAGTTTGTTCACCTTTTATAGGAACAGTTTTCTTTTTCGCAACAAGAAAATATTGTTCACATATTTTAAAATTAAGCCATTGATCAATTGAAACAATTAAACGGAGCTAGTGTCAAGCAGGAAACACCGAACGATGATGTTATTCCTCCAGTTTTCAACCCTCCAGATGTTATTTTTTTTTTTAATGTTTATTGTTTTAGAGAATGTGACTGTAGATGAAGGTGTCGCCAGTGTTGTTGACAGTATACCACTGGTCGTTGTTTATATTGTAATACCAATTTTCATTATAATTGCACTAATAATCATACTGATAGTTGTCTACTGTAAGAAAAGTAAGTTTTTATTAAATGTGTTTGATATTTTAATGGCCGGTTATGTTAAAATAACTACGGATTTCAATTTAATACTTACTGTTGTATTATTATATAATGCGCTCATTAATACATTTTGTTGTTAACCTAAAGTCATCCAACAACACAAAATAGTGATATTTGTTCAGAGACTAAACGTGGCAATTAAGTGACTTTGTTTAAAAGTTAGGAAAGTGAAGATCTGTTCAAGTGGAAATATTATGTTTTACTATTAGTCAGTCCTATTACGTTTTCCCTTATTAGTTACCCTTGTTAGTTACCCATTACTTACTTTTGTTTTGTTATCCCTTATTAGTTACCCATTGCTTACTTTTATTAGGTTTTTCCTTATTAGTTACCCATTACTTACGTTTGTTATGTTTTCTTTTATTAGTTACCCATTGCTTAGATTTATTATGTGTTCCCTTATTAGTTACCCATTGCTTATCTTTATTACGTTTTCGCTTATTAGGTACCCATTGTTTTCTTTAGTTAAGTTATCCCTTATTAGTTACCCATTACTTACTTTTGTTATGTTTTCCCATTGCTTACTCTTGTTATGCTTTCCTTTATTAGCCACCCATTGCTTACTTTTATTAAGTTTTCCCTTTTTAGTTACCCATTACTTACTTTTATGTTTCCCTTATTAGTTACCATTATGAACTTATTTTTATTATGTTTGTTTTCTCTTTAGTTTTCATTAACAACCTTCATTAATACATATATTTTTTCAGAGACCAAGAGCAATAAAAAAAGTGAAAAGATGAAAGATACTGCTGAACTGAATGCTGACATCCCCTTGGTTACATATAATAGACCTCCTACAAATCGACCAGAAAATAATGTAACGTATATTAAGAGTTTGTTGGAAAAATATTCCAAAATGTTGTACAGAGCATAATCAACCAATGTGGGTAGCTAAAAGTAGGCTCACTTGGGGTTACCTCTGGTGGTTGAGAAACCTTTGCGAATCAAGCCATTTACCATTTCTCTCTAACTGTATTGGATTTAGTTAATGAAAACTGTTGTCAACTACAACCTGTTCCGGAAGTGCCACGTGACCTTCCAATAATCCTCACTCATCGCTAAAATTCCTATTTGGTTGGAAGAATATGGATGGGATATTTACTCCTTGTGTTGTGATGAATTGGATCCCTTAATGTGGTCCTAAAAGGCTGGTTGTCTGGACAGTCCTATTCGAACAGTTATTTTAACGGCATATTGTCCAGACCCAACATCTCTTGGACTGTTGTTGATATTATTTTTAGGAAAACACTTATGGTTTCTCTTTACTTTTTCAGAATAGAGAGAATTTAATTTACGCCGATTTACAGCTCGCATGCCCACAGAGGAACATAGTCCACAGTCATAGCGGTGATAGAGTTATATATGATAAGATAGACTTCAGCAAGATGGCGCCAACCCTCAATCTACTATAAAACCCCTACACCAAAGTTAAATATCCCAAAACGACATTTATTCTAAAAAGATTTCAAGGAAGTCTCATTTGCAGCAAATTGTTTCAATGGCATTAAAATTAGTATTTGAACTGGAAATGCACAGGACGTGAATTGTATAGAATACATTGACTGTTTATTCCTGTGTGACGTTACGACTTGACTTCTCCAATCTTCATCAAGCCAGTACAAAATATGTATTCAGTAGGCCGATAGATTAAAATAGTTTGTCACAGCTAAGAACGATCTTGATGAAAGGGTCGATGTGCAATATTTCCCGATCTAACAGGGGTTCTTCTTAATCACATGTCTAATACGCCATACGCACTGCACTGTAGGGTAAGTTTGAAACTGTAGGATAAATCCTAAACTGTAGGATACATCCTTAACTGCAGGGTAAATCTGAAATTGTAGGATATATCTGTAGGCTAAATCTTAAACTGTAGGATAAATGTTAACTGTTGGATACATCTGAAACTGTAGTGTAAATCTGAAACTGTAGAATACATATGTAGGCTAAATCTTAAACTGTAGGTTTATCTGAAACTGTAGGATAAATGTTTAACTGTAAGATACATCTAAAACTGTAGGATGAATGTTAAATTGTTAAACTGTAGGATACATCTTAAACTGTAGGATAAGTGTTAAACTGTAGGTTAAATGTTAATGACGTTGATCCCTTCAATATTATGATAATCCTCATATTTTATTAAATTGTTCCAAAACCTCAAGCTGATCTACGATCAATTTAATTTACGATTTAATTATCCTTTCGACTTATGCAATGAATGGACATGTCAGTGACATTAATATTTCAAGTGATTGCTGGTACAGCTAGAGGGTGACAGGGGTCTTAAAACTGAGAATAACAAACTAGGCTACCCTATTCGCTGTCATTTTCTTTGAATGGTGTAAAAGAACTATTAAGTACTGAATACGTTAAAGGGCGTACGGCTCTATTTGTTGGAACCATAAAGGGGTCTAAAAACACATATTAATGTAATATAAGTGTATATAAATTGTTTTATATTCAATTTAAAAGGAAAAATGTAATTTCTAATCAATTATGTTCGGTGAAATATACGCGAACGGTTTAAACTGAACGACAATCGTTTACGCTTAATTAGCCTATTCTTCGCGTTTTTTATTATTTTAACATTTATGAATCAGCCAGCCATTACTATTTACTACCGCATTGTAATTAGGGTTTCACACTGCGTAGCTTGTGAGAAACACTATTGTTTTTGTTAAAATTATTATTAGGGTTTCACACTGCGTAGCTTGTGTGAAACACTATTGTTTTTGTTAAAATTATTAGGGTTTCACACTGCGTAGCTTGTGTGAAACACTATTGTTTTTGTTAAAATTATTAGGGTTTCACACTGCGAAGCTTGTGTGAAACACTATTGTTTTTGTTAAAATTATTAGGGTTTCACACTGCGTAGCTTGTGTGAAACACTATTGTTTTTGTTAAAATTATTATTCTTATTATTATTATTCTTCTTTTGTTTTGAGTAGATCTCAGCAACTGATTGTCGGATCGTTACGATTTCTTCGGTTTTATCGGAAAAGTGGGTGTGACTTAGAGGATAAAGCTATTTTGAACGTTCTGCGACAATGCGAAATGTCCGAAATCACCGAAGCTATCGTTTTTAGAAATATTGCAGTAATTTTAACAATAATCATTGGATTTTAACTTTCGATGCATTTTGGCATAGCCGGAGACGGGGCACATAGCTACGCTACTTTTGATTTTTGATTTTCGGCAAATCTTCGCAGATATTAGGCGCTAAATTTAGAAAATTTAAATTTTTACAAAAAACTTTTTTATTTATGAATATTTTTTAATCGTGTTTTACACAAATATAACGAGTCCTCTGACTTGGGCAAAAATGTGAAAATTTTTTGTCTCGGTAATTTTCCTTGGCCCCCATTGGCTAATTCAGTTTTTCAGTCCTAGATTAATTATTTATTGTTCGATTTGTATAAAACAAAGTTCATATGCCCCGTTGTCTCAATTGTCATTTTTTTTGTTACCAATAGTGTTATCTGTCGGCACCGGAAGTGGCGTAAATTGACAAAAAACTACAATTTTGACAGTTAGGTACCATTTTTCGAAAGCAAATATTATTTTTTTCAAATCTGGTATAACTGAAATTGTGCGCCCTTTAAAGGCGCACAAAATGTTGGGACCATTTTTTTTAATTTCGATTCCGTTTTCGGGCTATTTCGATTAAAAGGTGAAAAAAGGTGTAAAATTAAGCTATTTACAACCCATTCAGCGTTTTCATATTTTAAAATATTACTTCGTAACTTTCATAAACTCGTAGCAATAATCTATACGGAGAGAATGTATGTGAAAATTAATTTGTAATATGCGCAGTTGCCGAGAAATGGGCAATTTTGCATGAGTCACTTTTTACGCTAGTTTGCCTGTAAAAGAGTCAATTATTATTCGATTTTCATAAAAGTGACACCATTTGATGTGTAATGTCAATTTTAACTAGGTCAAACCAATTTAACATTTTCAATATCACCGGAAATGACGTAATTTGGGCAAAAATTGTATTTATAGCCTTCGAAACCAGTAATTTATTCAAATGAGTCATATTTGTTATTTGTTTAAAATTTTGATATTTGATTCAAATCAACTAATACAATGAACCCTTACGATCTTATAGATATCACAAAATGGTTTCTAACTTGTTCAGTTGCGGAGAAATAGGCAATTTTCAACAGGTCACTTTTTAAGGTTTTTTTGTCAAAAAAAGTGTCAATTATTATTCGATTTTCATGAAATTTTCACTGTGTGATACATAATGCCATTTACGATATCATACAAGTAATTTAAGATTTTCATTATCACCGGAAGTAACGTCATTTTGGCAAAAACTGTATTTTTAGCCTTCAAAACAGATATTTTATTCAAATGAATCAGATTTGTAATGTTTTTAAAATTATGATATTTGATTCCAATCAACAAATAGAATGAACTCATTCGATCATACAGATACCTCAAAATGGTTTCTAACTTGTACGGTTGCAGAGAAATAGGCGATTTTCTACAAGTCATTTTTCAAGGTTTTTGGTCTATAAAGGTGGCAATTATTATAGGATTTACATAAAATTTTCAACATGTGATGATGCTATTTCTGATTTCATAAACCAATTTAACATTTTCATTATCACCGGAAGTAATGTAATTTTGACAGGATCACTGACATGTAGCAAATGAATTGATTGCTGGATTTGGTTGTTTCTGCGTCCATTTTATTTCATGTGTGCAATGCTTATGTGGAAACCTGTTTAACGGTTTCATTGGTACCGGAAGTGACATAAGTTCAAGGGTAACGTGGCACCGGTGAAACCCGTCATTACTGCTTCGCAGTTCTAGTTATTCTTATTATTATTATTCTTCTTTTGTTTTGAGTAGATCTCAGCAACTGATTGTCGGATCGTTACGATTTCTTCGGTTTTATCGGAAAAGTGGGTGTGACTTAGAGGATAAAGCTATTTTGAACGTTCTGCGACAATGCGAAATGTCCGAAATCACCGAAGCTATCGTTTTTAGAAATATTGCAGTAATTTTAACAATAATCATTGGATTTTAACTTTCGATGCATTTTGGCATAGCCGGAGACGGGGCACATAGCTACGCTACTTTTGATTTTTGATTTTCGGCAAATCTTCGCAGATATAAGGCGCTAAATTTAGAAAATTTAAATTTTTACAAAAAACTTTTTTATTTATGAATATTATTTAGTCGTGTTTTACACAAATATAACGAGTCCTCTGACTTGGGCAAAAATGTGAAAATTTTTTGTCTCGGTAATTTTCCTTGGCCCCCATTGGCTAATTCAGTTTTTCAGTCCTAGATTAATTATTTATTGTTCGATTTGTATAAAACAAAGTTCATATGCTCCGTTGTCTCAATTGTCATTTTTTTTGTTACCAATAGTGTTATCTGTCGGCACCGGAAGTGGCGTAAATTGACAAAAAACTACAATTTTGACAGTTAGGTACCATTTTTCGAAAGCAAATATTATTTTTTTCAAATCTGGTATAACTGAAATTGTGCGCCCTTTAAAGGCGCACAAAATGTTGGGACCAGTTTTTTTAATTTCGATTCCGTTTTCGGGCTATTTCGATTAAAAGGTGAAAAAAGGTGTAAAATTAAGCTATTTACAACCCATCCAGCGTTTTCATATTTTAAAATATTACGTCGTAACTTTCATAAACTCGTAGCAATAATCTATACGGAGAGAATGTATGTGAAAATTACTTTGTAATATGCGCAGTTGCCGAGAAATGGGCAATTTTGCATGAGTCACTTTTTACGCTAGTTTGCCTGTAAAAGAGTCAATTATTATTCGATTTTCATAAAAGTGACACCATTTGATGTGTAATGTCAATTTTAACTAGGTCAAACCAATTTAACATTTTCAATATCACCGGAAATGACGTAATTTGGGCAAAAATTGTATTTATAGCCTTCGAAACCAGTAATTTATTCAAATGAGTCATATTTGTTATTTGTTTAAAATTTTGATATTTGATTCAAATCAACTAATACAATGAACCCTTACGATCATATAGATATCACAAAATGGTTTCTAACTTGTTCAGTTGCGGAGAAATAGGCAATTTTCAACAGGTCACTTTTTAAGGTTTTTTGTCAATAAAAGTGTCAATTATTATTCGATTTTCATGAAATTTTCACTGTGTGATACATAATGCCATTTACGATTTCATACAAGTAATTTAAGATTTTCATTATCACCGGAAGTAACGTCATTTTGGCAAAAACTGTATTTTTAGCCTTCAAAACAGATATTTTATTCAAATGAATCAGATTTGTAATATTTTTAAAATTAAGATATTTGATTCCAATCAACAAATAGAATGAACTCATTCGATCATACAGATACCTCAAAATGGTTTCTAACTTGTACGGTTGCAGAGAAATAGGCGATTTTCTACAAGTCATTTTTCAAGGTTTTTGGTCTATAAAGGTGGCAATTATTATAGGATTTACATAAAATTTTCACCATGTGATGATGCTATTTCTGATTTCATAAACCAATTTAACATTTTCATTATCACCGGAAGTAATGTAATTTTGACAGGATCACTGACATGTAGCAAATGAATTGATTGCTGGATTTGGTTGTTTCTGCGTCCATTTTATTTTATGTGTGCAATGCTTATGTGGAAACCTGTTTAACGGTTTCATTGGTACCGGAAGTGACATAAGTTCTAGGGTAACGTGGCACCGGTGAAACCCGTCATTACTGCTTCGCAGTTCTAGTTATTCTTATTATTATTATTAGGGTTTCACACAGCGAAGCTTGTGTGAAACACTATTGTTTTTGTTAAAATTATTATTAGGGTTTCACACTGCGAAGCTTGTGTGAAACACTATTGTTTTTGTTAAAATTATTATTCTTATTATTATTATTCTTCTTTTGTTTTGAGTAGATCTCAGCAATTGATTGTCGGATCGTTACGATTTCTTCGGTTTTATCGGAAAAGTGGGTGTGACTTAGAGGATAAAGCTATTTTGAACGTTCTGCGACAATGCGAAATGTCCGAAATCACCGAAGCTATCGTTTTTAGAAATATTGCAGTAATTTTAACAATAATCATTGGATTTTAACTTTGGATGCATTTTGGCATAGCCGGAGACGGGGCACATAGCTACGCTACTTTTGATTTATAATTTTCGGCAAAT